GGGCCTGGGAGACAACAATGTCAAGTGAAGATTGACTATTGGAATGTGCACACGTCTTCTGGAGTCAGGGAGAAGAGCCTTAGAGAATGAAAGACCACAGGGACTCTAACAGTGGGGGCCGAGCAGGCTCCCAAAAGGGGGGCGGGGGAGAGTATAGACAGGGATCACCTTGGAGAAGAAGCGGGAGTGCATGAGGGTCATAGAGTGGAGGCCTAGAAGTGGGATTTGAGTACGTCATCCGTTGGCCTTTACTTTCATAGTAATGTCTGTGGTTGGGTTACTGATATAAAAATAAACATGGAGATTTGAGAGCTTTCAAGAGCATAAAGGGGGCTTGGAGTAGCATCTGTGGGTTTGACACCTGAGAGCTCAGCAATCTTTGTTCACCCTTTAAGACAAGAGCAGGACAGGGTGCCATAACTCAGGAGCAATCATTTCTCCTCTGCTGGTAGCAGCTGTGACTTCAGTTGTAAAGCTCTTACCAGGGCTTCTCTCTACGAGCTTATCGTATCTCTGTGTGTGTTCATGTTTTCTCACAGTTGAGTTGAATTACTTCCAACGAAAAGGATAGCATGATTCTTAAGAGCCAACTGACTAGTGTTATTTTTCAAGTCTCGACTTGTCTGGTTACAGACCCAAACCTGTCCTTTTCTGCTTGTAATTAAGTTTTTCTTACAAGTTATGCATAGTAATCTCAAGCATCTTAATTATCAGGGCAATAATTGGGAGGCTTCCCTGTTTTCTGGTTCAAGTCAGTGCCAGTTTCATTGCTCTTAGCTAAGTAGTAAGTTCTCTTAAAAGAGAAAATATCCATTGTGCAGCCTGTTTCAGCTGTGAAAAAAACAGGACATCAAGTAATAGGCCAAACTCAATGGTAGAGCTCATACTCTTATTTTGAACTAGCTCTAGACATCATCATCTTCACCAAGGGTCCTTTTCTCATTTCACTCACTAAGTGTGAGTTTGATAGGATAGGAATCTTTTGGTTGGACATAATAGAACTCTTCTCTAAATAGTTTAACTTTAAAATTAAAAGAAAAGAAATGAGTGTATTGAGTATTGGTCCATGTAACTGGGGACACACTGTGGTGGGTTGGCTTCAAGTAAGGCTGGATCCAGGGGCTTAGACAGTGTTGTCAGGTATTTTCTCTCCAACTTTTGATGCTATTTCTCTCTATGCTTGGCTCTCAGGGCCTCAAAACTGCATCCTTAGAACTTGGAATCCCAAAGAAAGAGAGAACCTCTTCCTCCCAACTTCCATATACCAAACTCAGGGAAGCCGCTGGCATGTGCCTACCCCTGAGCTGGTCGCCATGCCTGAAAAATGAAGGACTCTGGCCCTCCTATGTCACATGTCCAGTTGGGATGACGTGAGATGAGACTTCTTAAGTGGTGTCTCACTAGAACCACATAGAAGGTGTTTCCCCAAAGGAAACAAGAAACGAAGGCAAGGAATGCCAAGTTGACCAAGCTCACAGAAGTCCATCCTACATACCATCCATTGCACAAAGCCTGAACAGTAAAAACAGAGAGAGCTTTTCCAGCCTGTGGTTATTTTTGGAAGGTTCAGAGTTTATTATTTGTTGTTGCTAGTGTTTGTTGTGATCCGCCCTGGACTGACATCTAGATGAAAGCAGGGATGCCTCCCCCAGGGTGTGACTTAGGGGAGAAACACCCATCATTCCCAATGTTCATTTGAAGTCATCCTTTCCTCTAGGGTCTACTCATCGATTTGAATGGGTTCCATTAAAACGAGCTTGGTTCAGCAATCATCTAGTTTCAGTCAGGCCAGAAGGTAAACCATGTGAAAAGGTTTGGACATTTCAGTCCCAACTGAAAGTAGGAAGTACAGATGTTTGTGAAGTTATATGTAAAAAGGGCGAAGCCAAGAGAGGCTGAGAGAGGCAGGGAGGGCAGACGCATAGATGTTTGTTAACGGACATACCCTGTCACCCCAGGTTCTTTCCTTTCCTCGCAGAGATGAGCTGTCTCCCCTCACCTGCCCTCCCTTTCCCACTGCTCATGGGCCTAGGCTCTTGCATTACCCTGTTACTATACAACTGTCTCAGAAGCCTTTTTAATAAAATGCCATTTCCCCGTCTTCTCACCACCACACCCACAGGCTGCATCTCGGTGCAGATTTCTGTGATAACACAAACAGTAAGAATGCTTAAACTAGCCAGTTGTCCAACTAAAGTGATATTTAGCCACTATTTATAAACCACAGTGATACGAGAGTGACTAGACTCCTCCCCTCGCTGATTTATAGCCAGTCTGCTCAGGACATCAAAAATCCCCTCAATCTGTAGATCTTTATAGAAACTGTGGTTGAAAATAGATCCAGTAAAGCCGACAGAGATAAGCTTTATTATTTTATTTAAAAGCCTTCTCTTAGTAATTATCTCATGTATTTGTGGAAAACCTGTGAAACTCACTTGATATGACGGTATCAGAATTGCAGTGTAGCTCAGAGAAAATATACACTGTGATTGTTCCTTCCCTTCATGACTCACAACAAAAATGTTTGCAGTTTCCAGGTGGCAATTAGCTACCACAACAAAGCCACAGTTGATAAAACCATCAGCCCTTGGTTTTCAAAATCTGTAGAAAACTCAATGGAAGGTCTGTTGCAGGATTTCTGGTAGTAGTGCCCCTGTTCTCCTCCTGGTCCCTACCCAGTATTTTGTCAGTGTTGATGCATATTGTAAGAGTGGCTCTCTTCCTTAAAGTCCTCCTACTTGACTGGCAGTGAAGTTTAAGGGGTATTTCTTTTTGGTCTTCTTGACAATATTCCGAGGCAGGCATTCTTAATATTATAATTTTAGAGATGAAAAAACAGGCCCAGAGGGGTTATAAGGGTCTGCTGCAGTCACACAGCAGGTAAAAGGTGGTCCAGAGGCTCCCTGTCAGGCCCCGTGCTCATTCCAACACTCCAGGGCTGTATCTCTGGCCTACAAGCTCATCTTCCACGTGGTTCCATGATTTGCTCTGTTTTCCTGTCAACCTTTTACCAAGGCCCTTACGTAACCCAGACCCACCTTTTCTTTTTTCTTTTTAAGATTTCTTTGATTTTTTTTTTAGAGATAAGGGAAGGGAGAGAGAGGAAAAAAAAACATCTATTTGAGAACGAGACATTGATCTGCTGCCTCCTGAACACCCACCGCAGGGTATGGAGCCCGAAACCCAGGCATGGGCTCTGACTGGGAATCAAACAGGCAGCCTTTCAGTGCACCGGACGCCCAACCAACTGAGCCACACTGGCCAGGGCCAGACCCTCCTTTTCTTTGCTGTAGGCAGTTGGGTTGCAGCAAAGGAGAAAGGAAGCAAGGATGCCTTTCTTGGTCATCACTGGACATTCTGGCATCCATCTCTCTCCTCTCCTTCCCTGAGCCAGTCAGCGCGTGGGGAGGGTCCTCTCCCGTCCTGGATGGCAGGGCAGGCTGCCACATGTCATGCTGGCTGGGGATTTAGGGCTTGTGGGGGAAGATTCAGGAAGCTGTACAAACAAGGAATTAAGATGTACAACATGCCTTCTATCCTGGCTTTGTTTCATGTCTGAGAAATGTTTTGCTGGTAAATTTTCTTTTATATTAAGGTAAAACCAAAAATCCTAGAATTTTTGTGGAAACAATTTCAATGCAATTCTAATGGTGCTCAGAAACTGGACTTGCTTTGAAGGAAAGGGGATGAGGGAGAATGGGTCTAGAAATTAAATTCTGAAAGTTCTTAAGAGAAGCTATAATGGGATTAATTTATATTTTAATTAACATTTTCTTAAATCTAGCTATCGCCCAATGCGTCCCATGCCAGCTTCCACTGCATTTATTCCCAAGGACTCAGGCCCTTGGTGGTGATGTGTTTTATGCTCTGTTACTTCGATCAGCTTGCCTGGGCCCAATGGCTGGGAACGTGGAACCTGAGGGTGCTGACAAAGATGACCTGCTGCTGCTGAGTGAGATCTTCAACGTGTCCTCCCTGGAAGAGGGCGAGTTCAGCAAAGAGTGGGCTGCTGTGTTTGGAGACAGTCAGCTGAGGGAGCCAGCTCCCACTGTGGCCACAGGAGAGCCAGACCTCAAGCCCCAGACAGGCTCAGGATTCCTTCCTTCGCAGCTTTTAGACCAAAATATGAAAGACTTAAAGGCCTCGCTACAAGGTATGTACTACAGGGATTGATTGAATTGGGGTGTTTTTGTTTGTTCATTTTTTGTTTTGTTTTTAAGCTAAAGGCCTGTTTCTTTCTCCTTGGTCTTTTTGTTTTGTTTTGTTTTCTGATTTTTGTTTCCTATCTAGTGTATTTTTTTTCATATTTGTAATTTTTTTTATATCCAGTGACTTTTCAGCTGAAATCTTAGAATCACATTCCAATTTTAAGAGATGTTGCAGGGTTTTAAATCTATTCCTTCTCATAATTTTCTCCCAGTGTTAATATTTTCTATTCATAAAACGTGAGAGGGGTGGCTCTCAATCTCATTGTCTTTTTGGTTTTAGATATTTTCATGCATACTGGAGAGATGTGATTGCCTTCACAGTCATGGCCCTGTTGGCTTGGCCATCCCTGCCCGGCCATCACCCTACTGAACTCCCTTGTATACTCTCATGAGACAAAGTTCCCGTGTCCTGTAGACATGTCCTCCTGACATGTCCTCTCTCTGAGTGCCAACCGACGTGACACTGGGCTTCTTAACTATTTTCACGCTAAGTTTTATCTTGCTCTTGCTCTCTCCCCACCCCGGCCCACCCTGAGTGTGCCCTCAGCCCAGCTGTTTCACTCTTGCCTGAAGCACATGGCCAACAGTCCCATGCATCCTTGGCAACAGCAGGAATAGTTTCCACACTCATCAGAGTGGTCAGAAGCATTGCTGAGGGTTTAAGGCTCGCTAGCAGCTCACATGCTGGTTAAGAATGCTGGCCTGGGAACCACACTGATTGAGAGTGCAAAAACTAAGACTCAGGTTGAAATTTCAATTTAAAAAATGTTTTACTGATTTTCAGAGAGAGGAAGGGGGAAGGAGAGAGAGAAACATTGATGTGAGAGAAAAACTTCGATTGGCTGCCTCTTGAACACACCCCTACCTGGGATTGAACCCGCATCCCTGGGCATGTGCCCGGACTGGGAATCAAACCTGTTACCTTTCAGTGCACGGGACACGCTCAACCAACTAAGCCACACAGGCCAGGGTGAAATTTCAATTTTTAAGTTTCAGTTTCTAATCAAATAGACCTTGAGAGGGACACCATTTTCTAGTATTTCAACACTTTTTTCCTCCTTTCATACTGTTTTAACTGTAAGACAGTCTTAAGAAATTCTCAAATTGTTTTGGTTTTGCTGTGAATTTAGTCTAGCTCCTTAATAAACAACTTGTTTACCTGGCACTTAAAGCTGAGAACAAACGGCAGAGCCGGAATGATTAAGTAATTATGGGCTATTACAGAAACCTTATGTCGTTGGAGATGAGATCATGGACCCAACCAGAGTTGGTGGGCAAGACAAAAAATTCTCCCCTCTTTATGAAACCCATCACCCCTTTTATCTCCTTTGTGAGTCCTATTTTATAGCCTTCTCATTTCTTTTCTAAAATTGGGTTAGATTGAGGAGGGATACATGAAATCCAGAGATACATTTCTGACCTGGGTTTCACCTCTGGGCCTCACTGTCTCTCACTGAGCTCCAGATAAGCGATGCGAGTGATGACTTGAGTCTCACCTCAACCCACCTGTGGTGGAGGTGCTGACAAGCTGCAGGAGAGTCAGAAGGCCAGAGCCCACATCTACAGCTCAGTCTCTCCAGCCAGCTACGCTGCAGAGTGAACCCCACTCAGCCCTCCCGCTTTGGAGACACCAGGGCCCCTGCCGCCAGCAGAGCCCCGTGGTGGAGGTGCTCCACGCAGCCAGGGGCCCGGGCTCCACGCCCCCTTCCTGAGCAGGCAGATCTAAGTTCACGGGGCCCCCGGAACTATGCCCGAGAGCTATGACAAGAACAGTAGCCCAGGGCTTTACACTTAGCCTGGTCCCAAACCCAAGGGAAAGGCACAAAACCACACTTGGGTCTAAGGACGGAGGTGTTCTGATAGCAAGAGAGAAATGCAAGCTCTACTATGGAAAGTAAAAGAGGTCTTCCAAAGGGAGGTCATTTATTTCTCAGGCAAAGTCTCCCTTGGGGCTGCCACCCTACTAGCCCTTTGGCTAGTTTCTCATTCATTCAACAAACACATCTTGAGTCCTGAGTGCCAGGCACTGGGGAGTCATCTGAGAAACAAATAGACAGATCCTGCCTCCCTGAAACTCGCAATGGAGAGAAGGCGATGAGCACAATAAAGAAGTAAATAACACTGTAGGTTAGAAACTGATTGATATATGGAGAAAAGAAAAAGTATACTTTTGGCAGTCCTTAAAGAAAAAAAGAAAAAGTGGAGCCTGGGAATAGGGAGTATTGTGGGGCTGCAGGGCAGGGCAGGCTGCATCGCTAAAGGATTTTTATTGAGAAGATGAGATCTGAGCCAAGATGTGCAGGTGAAAGAATTAGCCATGCGGAGATCTGGGCAGAGGGAACCCCTGTGCCAGTGCCAAAGGGAAGGACGAGCCTGGTGTGGCCCAGGGTCTGCAGGAAGAGCATTGTGATTGGAGCCCACAGAGCAAGGCATAGGGACTCTTAGAGAAGAGAGAGGCTGAGCCACTCAGGGCCTCATACGTAGCCTTTGGATAAACTTGGGAACCATCATGGCATCTTGGGCCAAGCATGAACAGGACCTGATTTATCATTTAAAAGGATCATCTGGCTGCTCAAAGTTTCCTTTCTTCTGCTAGAGCTCTATCAAGATCCACATTGAAGGAGTTACTTTGTAACCTCTGAGTTATCCTGTTTGCTTTGCATGCCAACAACTACAAATTGAATGACTGTGGAACTCAAAATGACAGGAAAAAGAAGTGTACCCTAAGTGTTTGGAAGAGGAATTCCATTCAGCTTCCACCACACCTAGGAACTCCCAGCAGGGGCCCCCTCAGTTCCACCCTGGTGCTGCCCCTGATTCAGGGACCCTTCAGAACACGTGGTGCAAATAAGAACCACGCCCCATGCTTCGTCAGGACTCTCCCCTTTACCTCCCTCGCCCCAAACAAAGAGGAGGAGTAGACAAACGCTGGCTCTAGATTGTTTTCACTTCATCCATAGTCTGAAACTGTCCATCTATATACATGAATTGCAAAAGCATCTAAGTAACTATTAAACTTGTGATGCCTCGTGTTGAAACTGCTTCCCCTGATTATCCAGATCATCTCAAAAACCAAATCAAGGATACCACTGAAATAATTAAGTAGTCCACCTAAACGTGAGTAGAAAGGCTCATTGGCATGCTGGCTCAGTGACACAAACCAAAACAAGCAGTTGGGAATGCAGAGCTGGGTTTTACTGTGCAAGCCCCCCTTCCCCTCACTCACAGTTTGCCTTCTCATCTGTAAAATGGGGTGTTAATATGCCTCACTGAATTATGTGTGAGGAGAGACCCAAGTCATCCAAAGGTGCGCCTTCCAAGATGCTGAGGACGAAAATTGTGTGATCCTCCGGATCCACCCTCAGTAGCTGGTACACCAGCAATTTCCAGCACTCCATGTGGCCCATGCCGTGAGCCAAGCACTGTCCCGTGTGCTTGTGTGTTGTGTTAACCCTCACAGCACCTTCCCAGGCAGGTACTGCTATCATCCCCATTTTCTGGTCCAGGAAACCGAGGTATAGAGTGCCTCAGTGATTTGCCCGAAATCATACGGCTGGTAGGAGACAGGCGGGATTTTGAACCTGTGCCTCCCTCGAACCCTGACCCGTTGTCTCTCAGTAGCGTGTCTCTGGTGGCGAAGATTCCCCCACAGGGCCTCCAGGCCTCTCCCTGGATGCTTCCAGAGGAGTGGGACTCATAACAATCAGCCCAGTTATTACGGAGGAGGAATGTGGGTGTGGGGAGACAGGTCCCTGTCAGCCACAAGAACCGGGGGATGTCCAGAGCAGGCTGTTGGAAGTTGAGATTGCCTGCAGAATCTTCCCCTGTGCTCGCAGCCGCCCACACATTCACTTGCTCTCACTCAGGCTCAGTCCCCCTGTTGTTCCAGCTGTCCATGAGTTGTCCTTGAGTCCAGGTGGAGCTGTGTCCTCAGGGCCAGAGCATCGAGAAGACCGAGTGGAATGCCCCAGGCTGCCTCCACAGCACTCAGCGCTCCCACGCTCTGTGCCCCCCTCTCCCCTCGCCCCCCCTCCACCTCCTCAGCATTCTCCCGCCTCATCTCCCATCCTCTGCTGCCTCCCTCCTCTCTTTGGCCTCTGGGGAAATAGAAAGGAAAGGGAATTTAGTGAGAGAACCATTATATTCCCCCCCCCCACCCCCCATTTCAAGCTCTAGGAGAGGAAAACAAAGAAACTTACATTTAGGATCAAATTGTGCTGAAAATTTGAAGGAGTTAATTTTAGCCAGGATTTCTAAGTTTCTGAAGTCCCAGCATGATGGGAGCTGGGGTTTTCTGTGTCATATAGTGATGAGACAATTGTACCTTCCTGGGGCTTCGTAAAGTGAGTGGGAAGAGAGCCAGGCAGAGAGGCTGCCCGAGGTGGAGACGAGGCGCGGCTGATATGCCTCATTCGACATCCCCTCTGTTCTCCACCAACATCCAAAATGCAATTTAGAAACAGACACTGATGCTCGCCATAAATGCGCCAGGACATCTTTTAACTTAGAACTCTGCAAACAGGAGTCGGGAGTCTTGTTCCAGATCCTCACAAACAGACAACCCTACACTCCTTCCAGATATTCTTTTGTTTTACCCAGTTCTGAGGTGCTATTGCCATCTGGGTGGGTTTCCTTTTAAGACTAATGCATGTCAAGCTCTAGTTGATCTCAGACTCACCTTTCCTTGACCAGAGCTCACCTCTTGCCGTTCCTGGCTTAGCCTGACTCCAGGTAACTGGTAATTCTGGGACTCAGATGGAGTAATGTGAAGGAAGAGACTGTGGGAAGTACTTAAAGATAGAAGTTGGAGCAGACGCTCTCAGCATGAGCAAATGGGATTGTTTGTCCCATGAAAGCAGTGGCACCTCCCAGGCATGCTCAGGAGCAGCGGAAGGTCTAGGGTATCTGCAGGATGTAAGTGACTCCATCAGTCCATACAGGGATCTGATGGCCATCTACTGGACCTCCATTTTACAGATGTGGAAATCGAGGAATCCCAAGTTGTTGCAGTTTACCACGTAAGGCCTGAACTCCTCAGCTTGGCTCACAAGTTCCGTTAGGATCTGGCCCCAGTCTCGTTGCCGCCCACACCTCCCACACCATTACTTGACATAATGACATCGTTCTGCCAGAGAACCCTGTATTATGTAAGCTGGACTCCTGCCGGATGGAATTGCAGTGAACCCAGCTCTCCCCACCCCTGGGCCTTGGCACATGCTCTCCCCTCCCTTGAGAACATGCCGCCCACCTGCACGCCCACGATGCCTGCTTGACGGAAGGCCAACCTCTCATCCTTCGGTTTCTCAGCTTCAATGTTGTTTCATCCAAGGAGCCGCCTTTGACTCCCCTTTGGCCCAGCAGTCAGTGCTAGATGTTTCTGCTCTCCATTCCCTCCCTTCACATGCTGTCCTTAATCATTCCTCTCCTCACCTCATTGTAAAGTTGATGTAATTTTCTGTCTCTTGCTTTAGGTTGCCATGGGCAGGGCTCATGTTTGTGTTGCTCACCATAATATTTCCAGAACATAGCTCAGTGCCTAGAGTACAATAGATGCTTAAAAATGACTGGATGGATGGATGGATGGATGGATGGATGGATGGATGGATGGATGGCAAGAAGGGAGAGAGCAACTGACATTGAACCACTAGATTAAAACTATCCTAAGATGTGAACCTGAAGGCGGTGCTCTCAAGGGTTGGTCCTGATGACTGCTGAGCTGTACAGACGGGTTTATTAAGGGCCTGCTCCTTGCCTCTCCTCCCTGGTTTCACCTACTACAGGATCCCATTTTATCCATACAACAACCTAACAAGGCAGGAATTTTTATCCATCTTTGCAGGCATGAATGCGGGGGCTCAGAGCCGAGAATTGTGGACTGCAGCCCTGATGGCTGTGGTGTTGCCTCTCTCCCCTGCACCCCCACCCCACACCAGCGCTCCCCGGGCTGTGATCACCGACCCAGCCCCGGCTTCTGCTCTCCCAGCCAGTGCAATTACACTCATGGTAAAGAGCTACTCCGCATGGTGTTATTTTGGCTTCACTTGCCGCTCTAGCTGGCCAGTGTTATTTCTGGCTGATTTATATTTTCCCTTATGTAAGTAGAGGAGGCAGGATTGCTCCAATAAAATTTTATGTGTGTTTCCTGCAAATGGGTAGCACAGTTGACATATCAAAGGAATGGAGAGCTTTAGGATAGTCGTTTTGTTCACAGAGCTGAGGCTCAGCCCTCTCTGCCCCCACCCCTCTCCCCACACAGTTACTCTGAGATGGGGAGCCAGCTCTCAGAGCCACGCCTTTGTGCTAAAAACGCCTCAGCCAACTACCACCTCGCAGAGAACAGTTGATGGCAATTACAGGAATATTAGCAACATGAAGTTCTCTTTCAATAGAAGCTTTTCCTTACAGAAGCGGAGACGTTTGAAAACTGGCTTGGCATTCCATCCATCATTACCCGCGTTGCACCCTCCCTTAAATAATTCCCAGAGTGGCATGAGTGGGGGTGAAATTGCAGCTGAGCTAAGTATTTGCTGTCTAAAGTTTTAAAAAATATATGTAGCTGGTGCCACAGCCACACCATTCTCTTCCTTCATGCACATAGAGTCGGATCGTTGGGCTGATGCATAGTAGCTGCTGTGAGGAGAGAACGGGACTGGCAAACTGGCTGCAGTCCCCTGCTTCACCCCACGGGACACGGGACACTGATCCCCTTTGTCTTTGAGAAACTTCTGAGGTCGACTTTCCCCATCATCTTAGTCCCCAGAGAGGGGGTATCTTTAGGCTCTTTCTCCTCCATGTCCTCTGCAGCAGGGAAGCCCCCAAAACCATAGATCCTAGATGTGGCTTGTGTGGGTCATGGGGTGAGCAAAACTCACAAACGCATAGTTTTACAAAGGAATCCAGTTAGAAGACACGTATGGTCTTATGAAGGAATCTGCCATTACAATCTTTTATGTCACAGGTGGGGAACCTTTATTCTTGCCAAGGGCCATTTGGATATTTATAAGATCATTTTTGAGCCATGCAGAACTGTTGCTATGAAAAACTCCTAGGTTTATTGAATTTTGAGTCCCACCTGGAGTTGCCTTGGCAGGGCCAGACCAAATGATTTTGCAGCCTTATACGGCCCAGAGGCCGGATGTTCCCCACCCCTGCTTTATATGATAGGCTTTAAAATAGGAGTTGTCTTTCTGGTTGTTTTAAAATATGACTTGATATACAGACATTTTATTTATGTTAGTAAGCTGGACTTTTCAGGAAGATGTCCATTATATAGAGAAAGGGGAGCTCCGTCTTGACCTGCCTCTTTTAAGAATGTGGTCCGCTTCATACTCTGGAAAATACGGTGCTTGGAACCTGCCCCTTTCTTCTAGTGCCTTCTGTAGCCATTTTAAAAACTGGATGTCGTGCATGGTTTTGAAATGGGAAGGAGGATCTTGTTGCGTTCCCACTGTGTCCGCAGCAGACAGAAGTCAGGAGGGGCCGGCTGCCCTGCCTCTCTCCTGGCTTTTCTCCGAGTCAGTTCAGGTTCTCTCTGGAAGCGGGGGCCTCTCTGAACCCAGAGAGCTTGACAGGATCGAAGAGCTTAAAGCTGCAAGGCCTGGGGGGAAGGTGGGGTCCTGAAGCGGACCCCTCTGTTTCCTAGGAGGGCCTGTCTCCTTTTCCCAGCCGATTCTGATGGAGATGGTGACCCCTGGCAGCCTCCTTGGAGACCCATCTGCGATGGCGCTTCCCATACTTACACTTGCTTCACAGTCACTGAGGCTTCATAAAAACTCTTTCCTGGGCTCCACCCCCAGGGATTGTGATCTGGGAGGTCAGGTTGGTGCCGTGAACTTGCACTTCTGACCTGCTCACAGGGGCTGCTCATCTGCTGGTGTGGGCTCCACACATTGAGAAGCTGCTTTGGGAGACCAAGGCCAGGCCACGGGGGTGGTGGAGAGGGTCCACGGCCCTGCCGAGCACAGACGGGTCCTGAGGACACTTGGTGTCCAGCAGAAGATGGTAGGGAAAGGGGTAAAATGACCCAGTTAGCTTCTACCTTGTTCAGCTTTATTTGGCACACAGTGGAACCGCAGTTTTAACTTTCCACATTTCCCAGTTTGATGTGATTCCTGTTTAGAAGCAAAATGCTCACGGGCCAATTTTCTAGGAACCAGGGAGGTTATGTTACTCCTGGATGGCGCCAAATAGTGTTCATTTTTAAAAGCTGCTTTAGTGAACTATAATTTACATACCATGAAATTCACCCATTGTAAGGGGACAGTTCATGGATTTCTGGTCAATTTATATTATACAGTCACCAGAGTCCAGAAAGTTCCCTCAAAATCTGGTGCTTTGATTGTTTATGATGTAAACTACATGTTCAAGTACCTTTGCAATGAATGGCAGTACTTTTAAAAAAAAAACCCTATATGTTTTCATTGTCTTAGAGCCAATAAATAGGTCATAGACCTATGCTGGGATATAAAGCTAAATGCCATTGTGAGGAAACGGCACCAAGGTAAGGGGGCTTTCTTTCCCCTCATATGTTTGGACTGGACTGCCATTCATTTATCTGCATTAACCAGCCTTCCCACTTTACAATATCTGTATAGAAAATAAATTATTTAGATCATATCAGAAGTAGAGAAGACCTGCAGTTTGCTAGTTTTAGGACTACATTTCATGGTATTCACTTCTTTCAGCTTTTCCTGTTTGTGGCAGAAAAACAAGGTACTTGATTTCCTTGGAAACTGTTGATAATCTTTGGCGTGACCATGAAATGATGTTACTTGAGAAGAAAAATGGGCATAAAGCTAAAAGGAAAAATGCTTCAGCCTCAGCAATTTCTCCTTTGTTTTTCGAAATCTAGTCTTTTCACTGTTGTTGTTTTTATGCTTTTGGGTTGAGCATGATTATAATCCCTTCTCCCTGAAAGCGTATTCCATTCCAGGTATGAGGAACCTGGAGAAGAAAGGTCTTGTCACGCCACCCTCTCCCCTTTCTTTGGAGGCCACCAGGGTTGAGAACCACGTCTGTGCCCAGGGACTGGTGGGGCGGTGGGTGTGTGCTTCCTGGATCTAACTACCTCTGGTTTTGAACATTAGGCTGGTCAGAGAGCAATGCCAATCCTCCTCCTCCATGGTCTACACCAAAGGCAAGCAGTCAAAATGGCCACAGCCCTGTAGTGAAAGGTAATGCAGTGTTTCACTCCCCTGAAATGACAGCCGCCTTCCTTTCCACTGGCCTGACATAGTTTTCTGTCTGTCTTTACTAATTTCCATTTGAGCATCTGCTACCAGGGTGGAGCGTTTGCATGAGCCTAGATATTACATTCTGACTTTCTTTTTCTTGCTTAATGTCCTAATTTATAATCCCCTTTGTCACATCTACTGAGGAGGAATCAAACGTGTGTGTCCGTGTGACTGGCTGCTCCCCAAGATTGGGTGGAAACAGCAAGATAGGAAAGGCTACGAAGGTTTGCTATCTTTAGCTGAAAATACCATTGCCACCACCAAACAAGGCACTTAATTAGTGCTCCCCAGAAAGAGCCAGGTTTCTTTGTTGTCAAAAGAGGGCCTTTCAAGCTCTTGAGATCTGTTCTCTTCTGAGACAAGCCCCTGAGAACATCTGCTCGACTGAAGATCTCGTCTGCTTTGGCATCTCTCTCTCTTCCCTTGGTCGGCACCCACTTTCCCTGGGTTGACCTCAGGAAGTTAAAGAAAGTGTCTGTTATCATCAGAAAGCATCCCCATGATGTTCTTTTAGGTGCTGTGCAAATAGTTGCACCTGGTTTTCCCTCCACAGCTGGAGGCCTGGGGAATGTGAGGGTTGCCCCAAATTACAGGCACCTGGCGGCTCCTGCAGGGCCACACCCACTCCCTGGGGTCCTTCTAAGACCTTTGCAGAGGTTAGGAGGAAGGGGAAGCGAGTGTGTAGTGTATTTTACTGGAGCTCACTTTAAGATATCTTGATATTCTCTGTCAAGCATCAATTAATCGTAAATCAGTCTTGCTCCATACAGTTTCCTCGTGTGACCTCCTACATACAAAAGTTACTCCCTTTTTTTTAGTTGTTCCCTACCCCCAACCAAACTATATTGAGATGTCTAAAGTCTCAGTTTGTCACATCAAAATAAACCAAATGTCTTGAGGGCTAACTGCGCATGGAATTCAGTTAACGCTACACAGTAATAACCTGCATATTACCCGCTTGCTTTGCTTACAGTAGTTTTATCTCTGTAGTCCATGCATTGATTATCTCCTGTTATGGTGGCATAATCCCATCAGTTCTCCCCCATCACGCTGATAGAACCACTTTTAGCTACTTGTCCTGCCCATGTTTTTTGAGACTCCTTGTAGCCAGATGGCAAGCACATTCCTAGCTGCTCGCAGCTAGAAGGATCACCTGTCAAAGAGACATTTTCTTTGTGCTTTTGATACTCCCACCTGTTGAGGAAGGAAAAAAAGCATGGGTCACCCAAGCCAGTGAACTTGGATTCTCATGTGGAATGATTTAGATAAAGAAGAGCCCCAACTTCTTCAGAAATCGCTTGCATCAGGCACTCTTTTGAAAATGTTCTCCTCATCTGGGAAATAATTTGGCTCTGTAATTGTGGTATTCAGGAAGTGAGGGCAGGTGGTTCCGTAAAAGAGCAGCTGAAGGGAATACACCAGTGAGGCCGAAGGGGGTGGGGACGATTTAGAGCCCAGTGGGAGATGGGCAGGCATGTCAAAGGCCTCCTTCCCCTGCCTGATGGGAGAGGATTGAAGAAGGCAGTGACCCTGAGCATCCCGCCCTGGGCTCCAACCCCCTCTGGGCCGGTAGCTTTGAAGTCTGAAAAGAGTGGCCCCCTATATTTCTCTTGACCCAGCAGATTGGGAGAGATTCCTCCAGGGGACACTGGACAGCAAGCACCTCGCTTCCTCAGCCGTGCAGTCTGATTTTTGAAATAACTACATCTCCTGCTAGTGGTGAAGGGGCAGGGTTTGAGGTTTCAGGCGACTCTGTGGGCTGTAGACACCCACTGAGGTGGGGGTGCAGGTGGGGTTTAACCAAGAGCTCGGTGATTTCCTGAGTTTCGGGCCATGGTTGAGAAATATGACTCGGCCGATGAGCAGAGGGACCTGGAATTCCCTAACTGGTTTCAGGGGTGAAGTACAGTGGCCTGATTGAGCATCCACTCTTTCCAAGATGAGCCTGGACCCCCGCAGGCAGCATGGGGAGGTGGGCGTTTGGAAGGTGGGTGTGCTGATGTCTCCTCTTCTCTCCCCAGAGCCTGCCAAGGCTGCCTCAGACCTGACTGCCTGGTTCAGCCTCTTCGCTGACCTCGACCCACTATCAAATCCTGACGCCATTGGGAAAACCAATAAAGAACATGAGTTGCTCAATGCATGAGTCTGCAGCCTCAGGAAGGGAGCCCACGTGCTGCTCCGCAGCAGCACACCTGGGGGCTTGCAGGCGGGTCACGTGATCAGTATGCTGTTTTACTATTTACGTGCCATTTTAATAAAACAAAGGGGTCAGAGGCCCTGTTTATATTGGTATTATTATTTACTCTTATTTGGTATAAAGGGATTTAGTGTATCCTCTGTGTGGACCTAACAATACAGGATTGCCTAGGAGCACTTTCCAGGCTGCCCGCTCTCCTGCCAAAATCTGCATCGTGGCTGCTGATGTGTCACTGGGCTACTGTGAGATCCAAGTTCAAATCGTAAACCTCCTTTGTGTCAGGTTTATGTAACGTGTCTGCAGCCTCAGAGGCAGCAGGAGGTGGCGAAGCTGAAAGGCCTCCTCTTGTACCCCCGCCTCTGTCCCCGTTGGAGGGAGGCTGCAGGGAGACTCCCTCTGCCTGCCCAGCCGCCTTCCCGCGAGCTCTGGACGAAGCTCTGGCCGACCAAAGACACTGCCCTCAGCCCTTCCCGACGGCCGTGTGTTGTCTCCCGGGCGGAGGAGTGGGCTGGTCTCCGCTGCATGACCCGTCCATGGAAGCAGCCGTGTCTGCAGATACCAGTGTCTCCTTTTGCCCTCTCCATGGCTGCAACTCAAAAGCATGTATTTCTGGAGTCCCTCGTGACATTAACTGTTGTTTTTTAATTAAATGGCAAAGATATTTGACACACAGAGTCAAGTTAATAAATGAATCTGTTGTGGGGACACAGTGGGGAGGTACTGGGGGGATAGGGACTATAGAAGGACAGAGTAGGAGGACGGGTCACACCTGCATGAAGCTGCTGACGGGACCCCGTGCGTCCCCAGGTACAGCGGCCGGGAGGAGGACCTGGCCTTGCGTTGGCTCAGGCGGGGGTGGGAGTAACGGTTTTGCACGTGGGATCATAAGCGACTTAGCCACCCACAGTGTTAAAGATCCCAGAGCTGGGAGATCCCTCTCCCCTCCCTTGTCACCGGTGGCATGCTAAGTGGGAGGCCACACGTGTCCATGGATGCCCATATATACAGCCCTTTCAATGAGGCAGTGGCCCTGGGTGGGGTAGAATTGATGATCGGCCAGGAAATGTTTCTATGTGCTCAGCTGGGTCAGGTCCCCAGCTCTGAAAGGGTCTCCCCCAAACCCAGAGGAACATTGGGCTTCGGAGGCTGCCTGTGTGGTGCCCTCACGGAAGAGCCCAGCCACTGTCCTCTGTAAGACAGCCTGGGGGACAGGAGACGGGGACAGCAGGAGGTGGTCTCCTTTTCTGCGTGGGAAGGAAGCCTGCAGGGAGGTTGGGGCTGGGGACTCGGTGTGTTATGTGGGTTATTATCTGCTCACTTTGCAGCCGGCTCAGGCTGTCCTGGGAGTCTCATTTGCTAGAACCTCACTTAGCAGTTCCTTGGCCTGGCGTTCTTGGTCTTGGGGAGATCAGGGTACGACGACAGGACCCCCTAGCCACCCTCTCTCACAGGAGGGTTCGCTATACCCTTAGCCCGCTCTGGTCTCTGGGCCTGTGCATTTGCTGCCCACCTCACCCAGGATGCCCCTCTCTCTACCCTCAGCCGCTCTCACAGCCC